TCCTCACTGTTATAATCATTATTAAGATAATGCATTATTAAAAGAACAAGTCAATAATTTAATTAAGGATGCTTGGTAGAATATGTATGCTTATACATACTATATTAGCTACTGTATAGATACTAAGTATTAGAATAGGCTGGTGTGCCTATTGTAGTTAACACTGAAATTGAGTTTTTATGGTAAATTTTGTAGTATTCTGTTGAAACAGTGCTAAAACAGGATAAACATCACAACTAGTAATCTGCTGCTACTTTCAAAACTAACCGCAACAGTAAAAAAAAGCTTTTTCTAAAAACTAAGTTATGTACTGTGTTTATTTTTATAAAGGCTACCTATCAATCAAAAGAAGGTATTACATAGGTTTCCAAATGAACCTCAATTTGTCTTTCCAAGCTAAAAACTATGCATTCCATATAATTTGTTTTGACCCCAGAAGTACCTGTCGTTATTGGAACCTCATTCTTATCTCTTGGCTTGAACAGTGTTACTCTTTTATGTCTCATACTGTATACTGTATCAGAGGTGGCACATTTTTCATTGAACTTCATAGAATAAGAACTGTATCCTGGCAACTACTTGAATATTACCATACCTGTAGTACCAATACAGGTATGAATATTGCATATTTGGCAATAAACACATTTTTTTAATTCACAACAAATAAAAATATTAAATTTAAAAACAGTTTGTTTAAACTGATGTTTTTAATACAGTATTTCAGAATAGGAGACACTAACATAGAACATAGAACACAGAATAGCATTAGTTATGTATTAATAACATAATGGCCTTAACTTGTTTGACAGCCTCGGATGACTAATTAGTTGTTACATTTTGTCAGTAATAAAATCTATTGTTCTTAGTTCATTATTAATATATAGTACATACTATAGTAACATAGTAACAGCCTTACAGTAATAAACTTTGTATATTATTAATAAAGAATGTGTTAGACATTTGCTGGAACTTCTCCTGTTCTTAGGTATTACTAAAACTTACAGTAAAAGTGTAAAATGACAAAAAAAAACAAAGGATTAAACCTTATTCACAATATATTTTAAATAGAATTATTGAATCACGCTTAAAAAGGATATACATACAGTACATAACAATGTTTACATGGAGAAATGTGATTAAAATGGTTAAAGTTAACTAACCCTAACCCTACAATGACTGTCTTCTAGGAAAGATTCCTAAAGTTATGGAAAAATCAGATTTGGCACTAAAATTGGGAAAAATACAGAGGCCATGTTCTTATGAATTTGTGTAGTGATTGGGAAATGCAAGAAAGAAGATATTCCTTTTGCCACAATACTGTACCTCAGCAGCCACCTTGAATAAAGGCTCACACCTGAAGAAGGCTCCACAGCCGAAATGTTGTGTTTTGTTTCTTCTCTTTTCATCATGGAAAAAACCTATTACTACAGGTTGAAAATCCTTTATCCGAAATTCCCAAATCTGAAAACCTCTAAAATCTGAAAGTTTTTTTTAATGCTGTTGTTGTTGAAAAAACCTGACAGTGGTGTAAGTGTGAAGCGTCTGACTTAGGAGTTTGGTGTTGGAACAACTGCTATCTATGACCTGAAGAAACAAAAGAACAAACTGTTAAAGTTCTATGCTGAAAGTGATGAACAAAAGTTAATGAAAAAGAGAAAAACTTTACATAGAGCGAAAAATGAAGATCTCATAGGTTGATACTGATAACGAACTTTCCAGCTCACAGTGATGTCATCGATGATGTACCCTCTCCCTCAAGTTTCTCGGACCTGATGTAGTTGTAATGTCTGGGGCTGCATTTATCTTCAAGTTTGTCAGCAGTGATCATTGTGTTTTATTTTGTTTTTTTTGCACAGTAAGTACAAAACGTTATTTTTACGTGAGATCTGAATTTCACCTCCATGTATGAGTGTAACTAGCGTCATTACTTGTACATTACTTTAAAAATAAAATGCTGACTTTTTTCAGCTTTCATTTTATTTACCTGTAATCATATTCAATGCATTGTTTTTATATCTTACATAAAACTTAATACCTGTATAGTAAAAAATAAAATACAAATGGCATACATGTACTGTAACCTTTAAATCAAAACATGACATTGTAGGTGGAGACTGATATCCTACCTTTCTGATGGTATTATGTTTAAAAAATATTTAAAATGTATATAAAACTTCATTCAGGGTATATGTATAAGCTATATTACGAAATGTAAATGGATATCATGTTTAGACTTGCGTCCCATCCCAGCTGTCCCATTTTATAGATGCAAATATAAAAATCCTAAATCCACAACACTTTCGGTCCCAGGAATTATAAGGGATTCTCAACCTATAGTTCATTTGCAGCCCACGCATGCTGATGCAGCTACCCACCTGAACTACTGAAGGCTGTTATACTGACAAATAAAGTACTATTATTCATGCTATTAAATCTTTATAAATGTAATCACAGGGCTGCCAAATAATTGGATAAACAACCAAACCAAGACAGCCTTTTTGGGAGGTAGCAAGAAACTGCAGCTCAAGGCACAAATAGACACAAATATAATGAGAACAGACAGATACCATCAATATATATATATCAATATCATCCCATTTTCATTATTATTTCTTTAGTTATTATTGGCTCTTAGCCTATATCGAGAAAATATAATATGCTGGAATATTTATTTTTATTTTCTCATGAAAAAGTCTGTTTTAAGTACAAAAAATCATTTTTAACTACCTTGCTATATGGTGACAAATAATGAGTAAAAAAAATCTGCTTACTCGAAGACACTTGAATCACTTAATGGTCTCTATGATATTTCCAAAAATAGTTTGGTTTTGTCATACATTTTCTGTGAAATGAACAGGCCCTGCAAACTTACTGATCTAAAAAGCCAGATGTGTTCATGGAAAAAACAAATCCAGTACAGAGCTTAAATGTTTTGATATTTAAAGCTTTCAATCACTGCAAACCATTTGCGCTACTGAGGATACTAATTTACAGCATCATTCCCTACTGTTCTGTGAGAACGTACTGTGAGAACGATATAAAAAGCTTTCCTGGTGTACAAGCTATTTTAATGTCAAGTTCCAAGAAGCACAGCAGTTTGTCTTTATTACTCATGTTTTTAAAGCAATAAGGAATTATTTCCACTGAAATGATGTTTGTTTTTTATTTATTTCTTTTACAAGCAGAAGTGACACAGAAAGAAAGATGGAAAATCCTAAATCATATGAATTACATTTTATTGTTTTGCCTCATATGGAAGTATCAGGACATGAAATTCATGAAATATTTTTACTACAAACATACAGTAGATGACATTTCATGTATCCCAGTCTATCTATCCATCCATTGATTTTTCTGAATGCTTTATCAAAAACAGGGTTGTGGAAAAGCTGAAGCCTATCCCGGCATGCAATGGGTACAAGGCAGGTTACACCCTGGATGGGAGGCCTGTACACTGAAGTGCACACAGACATAAACACTCACAGTGTATATCGTATGCTTTCCCCAGAAACCAATTAACCTACCAGCTAAAGCCTTTGTCACACTACAGAACTCGACATGACACGACTCAGAGAGCATGTCAAATTTAACTACTGCAATTGCTGAATCTCGCTGCCTTTTCTGTCCTAGAGGGTGTCAAATTATATGACTTGGAATTGCAGGGGGTGACTAATTACACGATTCTCTCATGACTTTTCATCACGGTTTGAAATCTCATATTGCGCCTCGAAAGTACTGCAAGGTCACCTCATTTTGGCAGCCAAACAATTTCGAGCACACAGGAATAAGAGGAGAAGCACCGCTCGGAAGTAAACACACAACAAGCACGAAACGACAAACACGAAACATCGAACAGACATCTATGTTGGCTCCAAAGGTCTACAAGCCTATCTTCCATTTGCACAGTCCAAAACACTTGCTTTCCTTCTTCCCTTGCCTTGCAGCCGCATTGTATGCATTGTACTTCCAGTTAAGTGCTCACTGGCTGTTGACTGTCGCAGACACAAGAGCCCACCCCTACGACCAGTTTGATTTTATCATAGCGAGTCGCAGAGAGTCGTAGTGGCTGTTAAGAGTGCTATGACTAAATCGCTGAGGGTGTCACACTATACAACTGCCCTGATTATGTAAATGAAGGCTACGACTGAAAATCCTAGGAAAAGTCGTGTAGTGTGAAGCCGTCTTAAGTGGAGCACCTGGAGGAAACCCATGCAAACATGGAAAGAATATACAAACTCCACATGGAAGGCACTCCAGGGTTTGAACCCAGAACCCCAGTGCTGTGAAGCAGCAATGCTAACCACTATGCCGCCAATGTAGTTAAAGTCAATAATTTATGCTCCTTACAATGGGTATATTATCAGATACAGTATGCTTTCATGAAAATACCATATAGTCTATAAGATTTATTTATTTCATAGGAACAATTAATCCAGGCATTAGGGAAAAAAATTGTCATGTATTAGAGTAAGTACTGTATCTTAAATATTATAAAAGTAACAACAGTAATATTATCCTTTTAAATCAAGAACATGCATACAATTGTATTTGATATAATTACAAGTTACTGGCTTTGTAAACCTTTGCCAGGCTGATTTGGGGAAAAAAAGGTTCCAACACTTATTTTGTTATAATGTAATGAAAAAAGAAGATGATAAAATAAAAAGGTTTCCATATGTTAATATAATTATTAATGATAAAGTGTGTGGGAAAAAAAAAAGTTTGAGCAGCCTCTGGTGACCATTTGAAGAAATTACAGTTCTCTGTGATCACAATGTTTTCAATCACAAAATGAACTGCAAAATCAAATATTAGTTCTAGTCTGAGAAACAAATGAGGTTAGCATTCTTTGGTTAAAAATAATATACTTGAGGAAAATATACTGATAAAACTGTGAAACCAAATGTCATTGAATAACTGTAATCACGAAAAGACTATTTTCTGATTAAAAGAAACTCTGTACTTTCACATTTAATACATATCCAGGTAATACATATCCACTATCCAGGTATAGTGGTATTTCTTTGACTAATTGTATCACCAGTGATATTTTCTTCTGCCATCCTGCATTTCACATAAAACACAGAGTAGATTCCTCTGGTAAGGAAAACCAAAGCAACAGCTGCAAAATATGTGCCATAGACGAAATACTGAAAAATAAATAAACAAAGGTAAAAACAAGTCTGTTATGTATTAGATTATAAAAATAATCTTGAAAAGTAATTTTTTATTATTACTGTACATCATGCAGATATAAAATGGAACATTAATTAGTTATGAAAATCAGATTGAAGAAATATTACTGTGAAAACCAAACCAAAATCTCTAATTAAACACATTGAATTGGAATAATCAAAACACAAATATCTGTATAGATTTAAAATTGTATCTTATTTTGGTTAACTAAAATAAATTACGTTTATTTTACTTTAATGATTATGCTTTAATCATGCCTTTTAATTACACAAAGAAGTGCTGTCATATAACAAGAGAGTTAATGCATGTTTGCCTTAATTAATTTAATGTGAGTTTCCATAATATCTAAAATATTATATTGTTATGTTTACTTAATTTAATTGACTTACCTGAGAAGTGATGGTTAAATGGAGGCTTTTTGTATTGATCACAATTGCAGTGAGTATGGATTGGAGGGTCACTGCTACAAAGGTGTTGATCCCAAACATTAAGGCATAACGTTCCTTACTGAGAGTCTTTGCAATCTGAAAACTAAAATGTGAATTTTCAGTACATTTAATCTATTTAGAGCTATCTCTGAATAATTTTAGATATTAATGTCAACTTTAAAATTAATAAGAATAATTTGACATTATCAAGTTAATGATATTTGAACATTTCAAACTTTAAAATAAAACGTTATCTGTTTTGAATTAATATTAATGAAATATCTTTATCTAAAACAAAATCTATTAGTTATTTTGGGATGTCTCAAAATGCAATGGGCATACCACAGTATGAACAGGATGTGTCTCCAGGGGGTTTTAAAATGAATTTGAGGTATCCTACTGTATAATGAGTTTCATATGAAATATTTTATTAAATTCTTTGTTTGTCTAATTGAAAATGAAGCTATTGTACATATATTAAAATCATATTATTTAGTATTAAAAGTCAAAAGTCTTTTTACATGAATCTGAAACATGCAACTAAATACTGTTCTGTAATTTACTAAGTAATAAAGTGAAGATTAAAATCTTTTATGCCTCGTATGTTTTGGAGCTGGATCTCATTTTAAAGACTTGTAGCTAAAAGTTTATTTAAAAATCATTAACTACTTTTAACAAAAACATTTTAAAACAGAATTCTTCTCTGTTCACATTGACACAGATCACCATTCTGATAGTTGTATTGCAATTTATACAGTATGTTTTCATTATTTATAAGCCACTGATAATATTACTTAGTACACACTAAGGCAGATAATGTCCGAATTTTGCACATTAACTATTTCTTAAAGGTCTTGGAAGCAAAAAGACACCGTTCACAAGACATGTTAACTTGGAAAATATAAACAATCCCTTAGTGAGGTACATAACACTATTAATTCATAATGTTATCTTACGTGCAAATTGTTATTAGCTGCATGTATGATGATTTAAACACCACATAACAAGTATAGCAAACCCAGATGTCTGCAGTAAGATCCATCAGGTAAACCGCACCGGCACTCACAGCTGAAAATAAGCCCAACATGAGCTCTCCCCAAATGGACCAACTAAAACTTATATGACCAACTGCAAGGGAGGCTGCAGCACCTGTGAGTTGAAAGAAAACAGCAAACTTATTTTCAGTAAAATAAAAAATATGAATATGAACCCCACACTCAGCCTGCTTTTAGAAATCAGTTATACAGTAGTACGTATCCACAGATCTCTAAATAAATGGATAGGACTTCACTTTCTAACAAAAAAACTACCATGTGACTCCCTAGGGTCTTTTCAGTCTAATGCAAAGCAGAAATGCTTCTTTGATCATTTAATGCATAGCCAGTTTTTATTGCCTACATAAATCAAAAAATATTACATATCACAAAATATGTTATGGACATACAGCATTCAATATATTGTCCTAGTTCAGTTGAGAATAAATTAATAGAATGATTACAATGAGATTATTCAAAGTACAAAATAAAGTACAGTATTATCCAGATCTAAGAACTTTAACATACTATATGGATTTTTAGATTTAAAATTTAGGGGCACCAATGATGTCTTAATATATTGCTTTAATTTTTATTAGAACTACATCACTAAAAACATATACTTTTTTATTATTTTAAAACTTTATCCATTCATTTTGTAGCCGTGTAATCCATATTAGGGCTGCAGGGGAGGGTTAAGGCACAAGGCAGGGTATACACTGGCGGGACTTCTGTCCATCACAGGGCAGACAGACATAAACAGACATGCACACAATCACACCAGGGTCAGTTTTCTAACAAGTCAATTAACCCTCTAGTATGTTTGTGGGCTGTGGGAGGAAACCTACATTAACATGGGGAGAACATACAATATAAACTCCATGCAGATAGCACCCTAGAAATGAACTCAGGGGCCCACCTTGCTGCCTTTTTAATTTTTTTAATATTTAAATTTATTAAAATACAAATACAAATATTTTTTTTATTAAGAAACTTTGAAAGATCTTTCTGCCCTCATATTTCTTTATATTTAAATTACATTTATTACATTTCAGGAAACAAATCAAAAGGCTATTTTATGTTCAACTAGACTATTGATTTATTCTCATTTGAATTTGTGGCTTTGTTTATTCATTAGGAAAGTTCTATTGTAAAATCCATAATAATGTTACTGTATTTTTACTCTTCTACCACTAAACAGGATCAAAGTTGTTTAAGGATCTCATAGACTAGTAACAATTCAGATACCTTGGAAATTGTTTATGTTTTCACAGTTTCTGTATATTTCTGTATGTTTTCACATATTCTGTATGCAGCTCTTTTGTAATAAAATAAAATTGATTTTGTTCTCTTAGCAAAAAGCAATTACTTACCTGAAAATGTAGCAAATGCATCAACACCACCATTGTAAATGGTAAAATTCTTTGATGGCTGTTTGAGGGACCAGAGAACTTGCACATAACTTATAACTTGAAAATAACCACATGTTCCCATAGCCCACCATAAGGAGAAGGGAATGAGCTTTGTTGATGAATAGCATTCTTTACAATCCACCCATAGCTGATAAATTCCATTCAAAAAGCTGCTTCTATCTCTCTTCCTTTCATCAGAGATTATACAGCTGGATGAAACATTCCCAGAGTCTAAGGGGACAGCTGGCACAATATCGATGCTATGGTTGGTTGCAAGATGGTTTTCATGAAAAAGTAAACTTCGCTGAGGCATAGGCAGCAGAAAAGAGATAAAGAATGCTATAGCAAGTGAAATTACAGTGATGACGTTCAGACAATAGAAGGACACATTTCCTAAGGAAACGAGCAGCTGACCTAAAACTGATCCCACAGCATAACCCACTAGTGTTGTGCTTCTGCAGTAACTGGTTACTTTCTGGTAATGCTCCAAGCTGACAACACTGTATATGTAGGAGAAATATCCCACTTCCGATGCTGTTGCAATGCCATAGCTGAACACTGCAAACTGGGCGGCTTCAACTCCTGGTCCAAATAAAAGCAAAAGCCAGCACACCACATACCCCAGTCCTTGTAAAACAATAACAGGCTTGTATCTTAGGTAGTCTGTCATCAAGAAAATGGGGATCAACAGCAGGAAGTTGGTGTAGGTCCATACTGGGTATACTTGTCTGGAAACCTAGAGATGAAATTAAATAAATTTAATGTTTAGCAATAAAATAATGAACATCTGCAAAATCAGTTTTTGCGAGAAAAAAAATTGAGAAAGTTTTGAAAAAACGAAGCTTAATGTATGTAGGTGTACATCTTATTTTCAATTTTGTGTTGAATATTTTCAAAAGAAGTAAAACAAAATATAATATATAATAATATAATATATAACTGCATAGAATATATACATTTTAATATTTATACAGAACATATTTGAATATAAGTAAACAAACCAGGAGCCTCCAGATGGCTTTATAAATATATAAATAAGTCCTACTCCTCTAGACAGATTATTTTTTTTAAGATTGGCAACTTACAGTATCCTTACTGCTCCTGGATATGCTACATTACTTTTAAAAACAACAAAAGCTACGCTTATTGGAGAACATATGAATTAGAATCTGCGGGAAAAATGGTAGTCAGATGAACGGAACAACATCCCTTTGAGATAAAAAGCATAGCAACATCTAATGTTTGTAGTACAGTACAATTGTTAAAAAACAGATGGCTGGGTTTTGAAAACCAACATCTGTGCATGTTTGTGATATCATGAATATATATTTATACTGTATCAATAGAAAACCTAGCATTTTAGCATTGTGGATCAATAATTTCAGAGAAACCAGATGAGACTGTTTTTTTTAATTAGTTTTGTAATGTTTATTTTCAATTTTTAACATCTTACTGTACTGTGTGGGGCAATACCAGATCCTGAAGGAAAGGGAGATGGGTGGGCATTAATAATATATGCTGATTTAATGTAATGAAACATTTTACAAAACAGAAGAAATAAAACAAAACATTGAAATCATTACAACACCAAGGGATCATAAAAAATTCAAACATTTGATTTGAAAAAATTGCTGCATTAACTACAAAAAGGGCTAAATAAATGAACTCCCCTTGTTTCAGTCTTTTCTATGTTTTTATTTCAGTCTGTGTTTCTCTTGTGAGAACATTTTATTAGAACCCTAGAACCAATAATGCACAATGCAAAACTGGAAAATGTTGTTACACAATAACAGCCTAAACACTCCTTTGACATTTACAAATTTTGTATTACTTTTGCTAAAGTCAATTCTGTAAATAGGTAAACTCTGCAAGCAACACTATACTGACATTATAAAAACTAAATGAAATTAAGAAAGCAAGTTTAATTATTTAATTATTCGAAATGAAGCACTTTCTTATAAAAGGAAGTTTTCAGATTTTCTAGTAGCACTTATGAACTTATATGAACATACCTGTTGAATTGTCAGGTTTTTCGATGGTCCAATTAGATATGGTGTAAGGAAGGGTTCTCCTGGTCTCATCATAGTAAAAAATCCATATACACAGAGGACCAAAGTGGGGTAAGCCCACCCACTTATTTGTAAATTATTCCAGCAATTCATTTTTTCTGAAGCCTCTGGGATGATTTAGATGTTTGGAGAAAATATTTTCATGGCAATGCTATTCCATCCACTCTATAACAGAGCTTTTTCTTTCAAGTGGTCACGTTATAATAGCCTCTGATTATGTTTGGAAAGTGGAGATAAGTTCAAGGAGGAATTTAAGGTCTTTAGTTCATAAATATAATGATAGTCTATCTACCTGTTTTTCCATCAAATGCATGGATAAAAGCCCCTTTATTTCATTTGATTTAGATACACAGGAATACATTTGTTAGGTACAAAATATTTATTAGAAAATGCAGATTTCTTTTATGTTTTGGAATTCCTAAGTGCAAGTCTTTAATCTTTCAGATTTATAATGCAACTACAGTATGTTAGAATTATCTTATGACATTAGATTATCCTTCATTAAGAACGTATAATATTGCCTTTCAAAGTCAACTTAAAGATGATAAAAAAATGTAATTACTTGTAAATCAATTTGAACTATTTCATAGTTTGGATCTGACTTCTTCTGGTCAGGAAACAAATTACTAAAAGTTGTAAAAGCAGTGAATAGCCCGGAGGACAAATGTTTGTTTTGTTTTTTTGCCAATACTGAGTGTTCTGAGTGACACTATCACATTATAATCTCAAGATAAGGGTGCACTGGGCAAATGGCTGTCGCTGAGTCTACCTTGTTCCCTTTTTTACTCATGGTAGGTGTAAGAAAAAACATGTTTATGATTTATAATTATAGTTTTTGAGAGTACATATGTGTGCATTTATCATTCACATCTGACATTACACATAATAATGTACAGTACTGTGATTTGATTTAAAATACTATGGCAAACAATACGAATTGTTGTGCTGTAACTATCTATGACATTCCACATGGAGATGGAATATGACATGACCTTCATCTCTCTCTCTCATCCTAGCATTAATCCCGCATCAGCAGGGTCCGCTTGTCGGCACGCCCGTCTCCATTTGGTGGTTTGAAGCAAATCTTTGAGCTGACGTTGCCATTAAATGCGAAGGAGAATACTCCGACCAGCACGTCGCTCCGCCTGCCGGAGATTATATGACCTTCATGATAGTGCTATTTGTGTAATGTTTAAAAAAAATGCTTTGGGGCAGAATAAAATGTAATGTACATACTGTAAGAATATAAAACTATTGGATTAAAAAAAAAGTGTATGTGTTGTATATTTTTATTGTGCTGTATGTCATTAATTGTATGAGCTCACCAAACCAAATTCCATGCAATGGGTTGTTATGGCAATAAAGTATTTTCCTTGAACTTGTATTACAAAATTAGGGACTCGTTAGTAAACTCTTCAACTGCCTCTCTCCCTTAAAATTTCAAAGACTGTATATAAATACACTATAGAAGCATTTATTGGCAATATCAGTATTTCATTCAAGCTGTTCAAGGAATTTGGGATTTTGAAAAAACCCCAATAGAGCATCTAAAGTACCCTAAATATGTAATTTAATTAATCCATGAATGAGTGTACATCAGGTCCTTCAAAATTCTGGGCCTTTGTAATTTCTGAAACTCTCATAATTTCCTATGTTTTGATTTTGTTTTGGGGAGCTAGTTTGTTGAGCACCTAAAATCAAAGTAGTTGTTGGTGTATTAATTATATAATATCTCTGTCCTCTTAACTCAAAATTACACAAAGAATGCTGACACAATGTAATGTTTTCAATCAAAATTGAAAACATTTATTTTCAGTTGGTGCATTCTATGCTGTGATGAGTTGCCAGTAACTCTTTTAGTTTATATTGCAAAGTACGTTGGGTTATATGGTTTGAAGAATAAAGCTGTATGAATTATGCTATAATGTGAATAGTGTTCTGTGACCTTAGAATTGCCTGAACACTGTGCAGTTTTAATTTTGATAATTAATAGACTTGGCCAGAGCTCAACACATGATCAGTACATTATATTTTGAAGGTACTCTGTTTTACTATACTCCATTCACAAAATGTTTTTTTTTAGTATTTTACTGGCATTTTAAAATATGTCACATGTCATCTGATCTAAGCAGGTAACTGCACATAACAATTATCTTATGGTTTATGGAAAAAAAAAAACAAGCTTAAGCAATGGCACAAGAGTGACATTAAAAAAAACTGAATTACAGTATAACATTGTTGTAATAGCAGGGAACTTTTCCAAAAGATACAGTTTGTCAGAACACCAAACCAATGATTAAGCTAACTCTTCTACAAAAAATAGGAGTGATATTGCCTTGTGATATTATAGCTAATGCTATCACTTTGTCACAAGTGACTTTAAAAACTGTGTAACTAATGCATTATCCAAATAGTCAAATATCCTGGTAGTACTTATGAATTAATTCCAGGTTTGTGTTTTAGGTACTGTAACTGGTGAAGAAGATCAATCAAAGGTTGATTCAAACACAATGTTTGTTTTTAGTAAATCCATACTATTTGATTTATTTTTCCTATACTTAATTGGTAGTAAAGAATTATGTGTTTTCCAGTGTTTAATTACTGTGCTTCTGAGTGTCATATTAGGGTACTTTTCAGATTTAGAAAGTTGTATTTGTATGCTAAATAACATTTAAAATGATATAGCTTATTTATGGTATAATGGTCACTGTTTTTTTCAAGCTTGACATTTTTTAGCAATGTTTATAAGCTCATTACAGGAATTCTTTCATTAGGGTAAATAGCAGTTACAAATTTCCAGCTCCCTTATTGATAGCTGCAATGTGGTAATTTGTCTTTTTTCCCCCTCCAGAAGCATTTAATTTGGTATAGCAATTGTATGTTATGAAAAATCATAGCTTGGCTACAGTAATCAAAATTGAGAAAATAATAGGAATCTAAAACAGGCAGTACAGCAGCACAAAAGTCAAACACCAATTACACCTTTTATTACATAGGCTTAAGAATAAATTATATGAATTGGAAAAAGTGATTTTCAATAATGATTTTAATGAGTGTCTTTCAAGTTGACCGTCCTTCACTTCCACTTTTTGAGACGATTACATATTCTACGTACTGCATACTCTAATGCATTTTTTTTAGAAATAGTATTATGCAGTAGAAAAAAAGATATTTTATTAAACTGTACATAATGTATAAATGTCAGTGCCTTACCTTAGTATAGTTTGAATATAATATGGGTACCAGCATGCATTTATATAGTTAAAACATGCTTCACATAATGTGAAAAACATGACAAAACACAAGAATATTGTGTGATGTAACCAAAGGGGCTGACAGTCTCACAACTAAAAATAAATCATAAATATAAAAAGAGTGCATATGAAAGGTGTTCCATCAGTTTTACTTTTTCAAGATCCCTTTGAAGATTTTTGTTCAAGCTGTTATATACTGTACCACATCATTGAGAATGTTATTTACTTATAGAATTGAGTGGTATTTTAGAAAGTTAATAAAACACAAAGGAAGTGTGATTATAGTGTTTGGCAAATGAAGATAAGTTTGTTGAGAAAATACCTGATTTGCTACTGAGAATACTTTTTAATTGTTGATAATGTACAAGGAAAAACTGTCACATGCTTATAAAGATAATGTCAATATTTCTACACCTACTTCAATATAACAAACCTAAAGTAAGGCAGTTCTTAACATTTTTCTCCAGTGATGAGGAGTTATAAGGCTTGTATTGATGGTATTGTGGCTCAAAGCACTGCTTAGACTCAAGAAATTATCATGAGCAACTATAATAAAGAATTGTTATCTGTTTTACTTTACAATTGTAAATCTGAAGACCATAGAATCTTACTTTATTTCATATCAACTCCGCAGACCAAAATGTATTTACAGATAATATTCTACTATAGGTATTTTAAAGGAGAAACAAAGGTCACTTGAATACATAGGCATTTTGAGGCAGTTACAACAATATTTATATTATTCAGTCTTAGACTACACTGCATCACAACATACAGCTTATGTCTGTTTCTAGAATACTTGCCATAGCACCAATGCCTGGAGCAAGAAGTGTATATGCACAAATATTGTTACCTTGCAGAGTAAATATCAAGTGCTTGTTAGTGAAGTATGTACTGTACCTCCAAACTATTTTCAGCAGAGACTGTTGCTTTCACAAGGTGGAGCTGTTGGCACACAACAAATGTGTGTATTATACACTACCCCTACTGAAAACAAAATCAAACTTAAATACAAATAATATACCAAATGAAAAAAAATATCTGATAATTCTTATGTTGCATAATCTCTGTTTTGTCGAATGCCCATTGTAGCATATGGCAGAATCCTGCATGCAATTTTATGCTTCTTCATTTTATTTGTCCCATCTTTCCTCTGCAGCTGTTAAATTTGCTATACATAATGTAAACTTATGTACAGTATTACATTTTTACTGAAATATCAATTTGTACTAAGGTTTTTACTGAAGATCAAACTGTATTATTTCTAATCTTTTCCAATGTCTTCCAACAGGAACCATCTTGTGTGTAATGTCATGTTTAATTCATAGATAGTTCATGTATTGTTATAATGTTACACTTTTGTTTGAAACTTTGTTTTCCACAATGATGTGATTATTAAGAAGAAAAGTGAAGTAAAATCATACTAATAAAAGGAAATATTTGTAGGTAGGCCTTTTGAACTACACCACTGTCTTTTAAACATTACCGCAGGATATGCAAAATATGCAAATTTTGGCTACAGTCTGTTTATCGGACTAATTACACAACACAGAACTGTTATTGACTAAGGCACTGAATGACCCTTGGTTTTCAACATCAATAAAATCAGTGTCAGTGGTAATTGTGTTTGAGCATTAAATTAATGTTTTCCAAAAATCAGTCTTGATAGTTTAGACATGTTGTGCAATCTTATTACACATCAAATTTTATTTTCATAAATTGCCTTTCAGAAAACGAGATTGCAAGGAACTAAAGAAAAAACCTTGATAAAGAAATAAAACTAAATTACACTATTGACTAAAACTATAAGAAAATGTATTCTTAAAAACCCTCAATCAC